AAGAGTCCCCCACACCTGCCCAGGTGGCCCAGAAAGATGATGCTGGTGTGTAGTCTGAGCAAGGACCCCAAGCTGAGGCTCTCACTCTATTCCCTTTGCAGGTCATTACTCCTTACACTTCGACGCCTTCCACCATCCTCTGGGTGATATCCCCCCAGCCCTCCCTGCCCGGACCCTGCGTAAGGTAATGTACTGAAGCTATAGCTCCACCACCTCTGCTGAACCCCGAGGTTCTGAAAAGGTTCTAAGCCCTTCCCTGCTTCTCTCCCTGAAAGCCCAACTTGGCAGAAGCTGGGTGCTGTGAAAACCACACACGTCTGTAGTTGATCAATGTATCTTACTACAAATGCAGTGGAGACTAGGAAAATTAGAGGGTCTTGGAGACAACACATAGTACCATGAGTGTGTGGGCAATGGGCACTGAGAAACATTGGGGTTCTCTGCCATGTGGTGGATCATAGAGCTTTTTTTTTTTTGGTACCGGGGATTGAACTCAAGACCTGTGCTTTTGAGGCAAGCATCAGCACCACTGAGCTAAATCCCCAGCCCCTCATAAGAGCTTTTTAAACTAGTGTTGAGTGACAGCAAGAAGCATCATGCACCAAAATTTCAAAAAAACACTCAAAAAGTAAAATTTAAATCCTGCTGTTGGTTTTTCTGCAAATCCAGAAAAGACTAGATCTGTTATAGATTTCAGCAGTATATATTCATCTGATCCACAGGCCACCAGGATCCTTTCTGCTCTCCCCACCTGACCTCATTACCCAACCTTTCATTAGTAATCTAGAGCCACAGACAGCAGCCTGGGACCTGGTCTCAGGGAGTGCCAATGCCGAGTAGTCAGGGCAGGGCCATATTTAGGTCTACAGACATGATATTGAAGCTCCACTGGCCTGCCTGAGGGTTGGGGAGTACCCATTGGGTTCCTGCTGAAGAAACAAGAAACATGCAATTGATGAGGGTTAAAGTTCATTGGTAAGCAGACTCCTGGTCTCCACATGGTGGCCAGCCAGTCTGTCTAGAGGGGGTTCTAATGTGCCTACCCTTCCTTCGCACAGTCTCCTCTTCACCCCATCCCAGCCTCCCCCACCAGCCCCCAGTCGGGCCTGGACGGCAGCAACTCTACACTGTCTGGAAGTGCCAGCAGCGGTGTGTCCTCCTTGAGCGAGAGTAACTTTGGGCACTCCTCAGAGGCCCCACCTCGAACCGACACCATGGACTCCATGCCAAGTCAAGCCTGGAATGGCGATGAAGACCTTGAACCACCCTACCTCCCTGTCCACTACCGCCTCTCTGAGTCTGCTGTCCTGGACTCCATCAAGGCCCAGCCATGTCGTAGCCACTCAGCCCCAGGGTGCGTCATCTCTCAGGACCCCACGGACCCACCTGCGCTGCCACCCAAGCCCTATCATCCCCGCCTGCCAGCCCTGGAGCATGATGAGGGTGTGCTGTTGCGTGAAGAAGCTGAGAGGCCTAGAGGTCTGCATCGCAAGGCCTCACTGCCTCCTGGGAGCACCAAGGAAGAGCAGGCCCGAATGGCATGGGAGCATGGCCGAGGGGAACAGTGAGGGGCAGGAAGGAAGCTGCAACACTACCTTCAGTGAGCAGCTTGCCAATCCACTCCAGGTCTGAAAACCAAGTCCCCCTGCCCCCCAGGGAGATGGAGAGGCTTGGCATTCAGGAGAGAACCACCCAAGTCTATGTTCTACTGCTGTGAACTCATGTTGCCATGTTCAGAAGCTGCAGCAGCATGAAAGGTTGTGGCTTCTCTTGTGGTTCACTTTTTGTTTCCATTTCTATGGGTTTTCCTTTCTTTATGCAGTAGATGCTTTCTCCTCCTGCAGTTCCACACCATGTGGAGCTATGTGGAATTTTACACAGAATTGCTTTGCAACATTGCAGGGCCCACAAGCAGGAGCCCAGGCCCTCCCTCCAGGGCAGAGCTGCACAGAAGAATGAAAATTGCACTAGGGACCTCTTCTTTTGCTATATGGACAGAAAAGTTCATGGTTGCATTCAGGGATTGCAAGGACCACACAGACTACATGTCACAGGTGGATGAAGGGGCCACAAGCCATTTTGCACAAATGCTTGCCCACCTGCCAGCTCTTCCATCCTGGAGTGTGCAACTGAGGGGCTGGCTGGGCCAACCTGCCAGCTCAGGCACATGACTGGCCTAACTGTATGCCCAGGGCACACTGCCAGGCTTCCATGGGCCAGCCTTGTCTCCTGCTCCACCTTGGATTTCTCTCTCCATCACTTTTATTTCTGACCATTCACTCCTCTCCACTCATACACCTCCTAACCTGTGGAAGCTTCCATGGTGAATGGATCTGTAGGGTTTATCACCCATCCTCTCGGGCTTGAGTGGAGGAGTGGAGTCAAAGGGGCTACCCTAACCAATTTCTTCCTAAGAAGATCTAGGCCCCTTCCCAAGTGTTAGAACTAGTGTAAGAGAGAGGCCAGTGGCAGGAGCCAGAAATCCTCTAAGCTTTCAGAAGTGGCCACAATGCCTGCCATCAGCTCCTGAATCAGGGATTTTCAGCACTACCTCTGAGCCATGGGTTTGGCTGACCAGCCAGGCTTCCAGGCTGTGAGGACATGTGGTCAGGTTCAGCAAGCTCCTAGATAAAAAGGGCGGGAGGGAACTTCTTCTGAAAGCAGAGCCACCTAGATAGAATTGTCATCTCCTAAGTGGCCAAGTATAGTACCCTGCTCCAGGCCCATGGGGACCACCACTCAGGGTTCAGGGCAGGCAGGAGGGCAGTTTCTCTAGCCTCTCCAGTCTGTTGGCCAGGGTGAAGTGATATCTTTATAGTAAACTCTTTCAGGTCAGGGCACTTGATTTTCCTCTTGGTGTATTATTTGGGGGATAGGGTCGGGTGGGTATAGTAGTATTTTACCAGGGTGCTTTCGTTACCTTAACTGTCTTGAGACAAAAATCTCATTTGCTTGAGTTCATATTAGTGATGGTCACAACTCTGATGGTCCAAAAGACTCCCTTTTCCCTTCTCTGTTAAGCAGGCATGTTAGGCCCCACCCCCAGTTCCTCTTTTGCTTGCCCTGGCCCCTCACCCTTCATCCTTCTTCACTGCCCCTTTCCAAAGAGAAAAGACCATGGTCAAGGTGTTTTTGGTTTTTTTTGAATGAACAAATGCCAACTTAACAGACATGCCAGCAAGTAACCTACTGAGAAAGTTAGAAGGCCCAGTTACCTTTAGGGTGTTTGAGTCTTATCATTAATGTGAGGCTTTTTCTCATACCATCAGGATCATTCCAGGCAGTCAGGTGGCTGAGGGTATAGGTCACTCAAGGCAGCCCATAGCTCAAAGGGTAGGCCTGCTCCTAAACCCAGATTTACCTGCAGGCTTTAGTCTTTGGACCATATGGGATTCACAGGTGTTAGCAAGTCAGGGGCGAGTTTGTAATTTCTTAGGGCAGCTTTAGATTTTTCAGGCACTTCTGAACCTCAGTCCCTGGACAAGCAGTCATCACAAAAGAACATCTACCTTCTCCACTTGGTGGTACAGGTACAGGGTGGGGGAGTATAAGCTGGTCACCCTTGCTTTATTCAAGGTGAAATGAATGTTTTCCCTTACCATCTTCCCTAACTGGATGATGTGGACTCATTCTGAATCTCTTTTGTTGGAGAATCACCCAGTCTGAAGGGAAATGGGAGGCCAGAGATGATGAGAATCCTTTAAAAAGATTGTGACATACTGATTTTCATTCTTTCAAGCTTATTTGTAAATACCTATTTGAATGCTGTGTATTTGTACAGGAATTTGAGCAAAAAATGTATAGAGTGTGATGTCCAATTGGTATTCAGCCCTATAAATGTGTTTTTAACCTCTTGCATTCTGTGCTTATTTAAAAAGAAAACTTCTAACCATTTCTTTTGTGTATTCATATCTAAAGAAAAAGTGATTTAACCTTACCTGTACGAGAAAAGCAAAGTTTAAAAAATTTGTACCAATATCCCTAGAGGTATTTTACTGTATATATTGTGGTAGCATGTTCTAAATCCAACAAGTAATGTTAATTTTAGATGTAAATATCTGCCACTTCTTCCCCTTCCCTAATCCCTTGATTGCTGTGATGTGAATTAAAGATGAATATCTGATATTGATCCACTGAATTCACTGGGAGCAGAAATGCCCCTCTCCACCCCATGTCGCCGGGCTCCAAGCCCTCCTAACCCCATGGACATCCTTCTGCCCAGTCAGTCCTGCCCCCGTCCTGCTTCAAAAACAGGGAGGCCAGGAGGAACCTCCTCTCGCGCTCTTCGGTTCACCCACGGGAGGCCAGGGGCTCAGCGGGACCCAAGACGCGGGGTAGTCTGCTCCGGAGCGCGTCCAAGAACGGACAAACCTCGCGGTCCCCGGCCTCCACACTAGGGCGACTCCAAAACCGCAGCGCGCAGCCTTGGTCTGCGTGCTTGTTTTAGATGCAGGGCGGCAGCCTGGCTCGACTAGTGTCGAGCCTTTTGGAAGGTTCTACAGTGTCCACCGGACAAGGAGGTCTCCGGCCAGGCAGGGTCGACAGCGGGCTCACGCGCCCACGTGACTGTTCAAACTGAAAGAAACCTCGGGGCCTCCTCGCCAGTGCTCACTCGCCCCCACTTCCGTCGTTAGATCCCAGCTGCCCCCAGAACACCTGACCTGTACCACGAGTCAGGACCCTGGGAAGAGCGACCCACGGGCTTTCGTGGGCAAGTACGGCCCAACACAGGGGCAGCTGAGCCGATGTGCACCGGCCGCCCGTGACGCAAGAGAGCGGGCCCAGCGACTTCCGCTGCGGCCCCAGCCACTTCCTACGGGCGACCGGACTCAATCAGAGGCCGACAACTGTCTAGGGCCTAGACACCACTAGCCAATGAGAGAGGGCAGCGTGGAGCCGCAGGGCTAGGCTCCGAGGCACATAAGCCAATAAGAACGCGGAGTGTGGGAGGGCACGCGTGACCTCCACCAATGGCAAGCTCCGGCGTGCCGCGAGGATCCGGAGGTGTCGCGGCGCGGCGGGTGCGGTTCAGTTGAGCGGCGGCGACGGTGGAGGATGTGGGCTCTGCATAGTCTGGTGGTGGCGCTGGCCCTGAGCGTGCTGCCGGGCAGCTGGGCGCTGCGGCCAGGCGACTGCGAAGGTGCGGGGTCCTGGGATCCGCGCTCCGTGGCCGACCTACCAAACAACCGAGTGGGCGGGAGCGGCGACCGGTCCCTTCGGGCCCGTTGAGGAAGGGCCTAGAAGTCGTTGGTCCGATGAGGAAAAAGTGGAGACTAGATCGTGCTGAAAACGTGGCCAGAAATCCACATGATGCCGGAGATCTGCCCCTTCCCACCACTGCCCGGAGGCTCGCGGGAGCAGCCCCCTTCTGTCGGGGGCCCCGAGGGCGGCTGTGCATGCCGCACCCGTCTTGGGATCGCGAAGCTGCACTTCGGGGTTCGGTGTTATATTGGAAATGAGCAGCATTTTGATCGCGTTTACTCAGCCTCCAGTCTCCATTTATGAGGTCACCCAGTGAGTCCCATTTCAAGGACACGTGTTCACTTTCGTCTTAAACTTGATGAAAGGAGCAGGGAGGAGGCATTGTGGGTCATTCAGGTGATGTCCGTTCCCCGCTTGTCCTGGGTGGACCTGGGGATCCTGGCAACCTGGACCTGGGTTCTGCCTACCTATGGGCACCTGAGAGAAGCTGATGATGGAAAAATGATACATCTCTGTGTCGCCTATTAAAATTGGAGACGCTCCTTCCCCGTGGAATGGGGGACCACTCGGTGGTGCTGAGCATCTCCCTTCCCTCTCTTTTCCAGTTTGCATTTCTTATCTGGGAAGATTTTATCAGGACCTCAAAGACAGAGATGTCACATTCTCACCAACCACTATTGAAAAAGAACTTATAAAGTTCTGCCGTGAAGCAAGAGGCAAAGAGAATCGCTTGGTGAGTACATGATGACTCCCAGATGGCCCTGGCTCCTCTTTACCTTCTGTTTCTTAGTGGGCCGGTATTCTGTCTGTAAAGTAATGTAGGGCAGGAGGCCTTTTATGTCATTCCCCAAGATATGTATTCTCCAATTGTGATATTTTTGCTCTGTTAGAATTTATTAAGCACCGACTTCAAGCTGGACACTGGGAACATCAGGGGAGAAAAGTGATAATGAATGGGTGTCCTGAAAAAGACGGATTGGTCAGTGGTAGGGTGGATGCTGATTAGACAGCAGTTGAGGTCTCCCTGAGGCAGGGACATCAGTGAGGGCCAAAAAGGGCTTGATATCGTACAGAGGTTAACAAGGTGCCCATGGGATAGGCCAGGGCTGATTGAGGACAAGATTTCCCCAGTGAAGCAATGGCTTTTCTACTTTAATTTCCTTGACAATCTTTGTCTAACATTTTGAACCCAGATGACTTGTAAGTTTCCAGACAATTCGTATTTTAAGAGACTGGGGTTTACACTGACTTGCCAGTCAAGCAGAGGTATTTTGGAAGAAATGACTCTTAGGTGCTACCTCCTGAGGGCTACTGTCCTTTTCTTGCTGTAGTGCTATTATATTGGGGCCACAGATGATGCTGCCACAAAAATCATCAATGAGGTGTCAAAGCCTCTGGCCCACCACATCCCTGTGGAGAAGATTTGTGAGAAACTGAAGAAGAAAGACAGCCAGATCTGTGAGCTAAAGTATGGTGAGTGTGATCAGGCCCATCTTTGGCCTCTGCATACAGAAAGGAAGGTAATAGTCTAGAGCCATGATGAGCAGGCTGTGTAAAGTGATAGATGACACTCAGTGCCAGGGGTAAGGGTGGGAGGACTCTGGCATCAAAGTGGGTGGAGGTCAGAATAGACCCTGTTGAGGAAGTTAGCAAATGAGGTGGGGTTTTGGCCAAGAGGTGAACTACTGGAAGAGCATTCCAGGCAGAAGGTGTAAGCAGTGTAAAGGCAGCCAATGGCATGACTGGTAGGTGGGCAGGGCACAGGGAGCCTTGCAGGTTGGTGAGGACTTTGGCGTTAGTCTGAGTGAGGTTGGGAGCATTAGAAGTTTTTGAGCAGAGCAGGTGTATCATCTGACTTGGGTTTAACAAGCTCATTGTGGCTGCAGCTCAGAAGGCCTCAAAACCTTTAACCTAAGAGTAACAGGAGCTATAGCATCTCTCTGGCTGAGCTCATCTCTGGTTACACAAACACTGTTGGAGTCTTAAGAGTCTGGGCCTCTTCTGTAAAGTTTAAACAGTACCTGTGTTTTTACCATAACTCAAAGGTCCAGGGGCCCGTGTCTGCTCACTTAGGTCAAGGATGCCTGGTCTTCTGAGGGTTATCTTGATAAAAGTTCATCTGACTCCAGATCACTGGTCAGAAGTGATAGTCAGAGGAAGCTTCTGGTTCCAGGCCTGCCTATCTTGGGAAATGGGAGACTAGAGGATTTATCTGCTTTGTCAACAAATGTGGAGCTGTCATCTTAACTGACTCTGTAGAAGGCACTTGGGGGATGGGAACTGTCTCACTCTTATGAACTGTGTGGTGTTTCTGCACTACAAGTCCTGGAGTGAACACAGATGGCCTGAGGCAGCCCTCTTGGTCAATGGATAGTCTGAGTGCAGGGAAGAACCCTGACTGCTCCCACCCAGCTTCTTACTCTCCCTTCCTTCTGCAGACAAGCAGATTGACCTGAGCACAGTGGACCTGAAGAAGCTCCGAGTGAAAGAGCTAAAGAAGATCTTAGACGACTGGGGAGAGACATGCAAAGGCTGTGCAGAGAAGTCTGATTACATCAGGAAGATAAATGAACTGATGCCTAAATATGCCCCCAAGGCAGCCAGTGCTCGGACTGATTTATAGTCTACCCAATCCAGTTCCTGCTGCACCCAAGGGGAAGAAGTTTGGCTGTCTCTTGCCAAAACAGCCTTTTTGTAATTTATTTTTTAAGTGGGCTCCTGACAATATCAGATATGAAGCCTGGAGCTTTCCTGATGATGTGGGCTCTATGGTGCCCCCATAGCGGGATTCATTTCCTTCTGTTGCTGGTTTACTCTAGGACTTCAAAGTATGTCTGGAATTTTTTTATTAAAAGAAAAAAAAATCTGTCCTTGGAGAGTTAAAGTGAATGCTGAATTAGGATCTTACCCCATGATGAAGATCCCCACTATTTTACGGTTTCCAGTTTGCGAAGGGTTTTGGGCTATATTCTCATTTGTTCTTCAGCCCATCAGTGCTGACAGGACCAGGGCAGGCCACTGATTGGAGCCAGCTAATGTGTGTTCATTTTTCACACCTGGAGTGCATCGGTCACCTAAGCCCAGGGAAGAGATGAAGCTTGGCTCCCTGCCCTGCCCACTACCCCCTTCAGTAGGAGGGGCTGGAGGGTGCCCTGTTCCTGGGCACGGAGGTGGAATCTGAAGTACACAAGAGGGCCTCATATCCGTCCTCAGTATAAGCAGGACCAAGGGTACATGGAGTGTTTTTCCACAATGACTTCAATGCACATGTTCAGTATTGAAACTTCTAAAGCTGCTTTTTGCCTGGCTACCTACTTGCTCATCAGGGTTTGCAGCCTAGGTCTAGTGTCTACCAGCCACTGATGCTTTGATTTTTGTAGACTGGCAGAAGTAAGCTTATACAAAGAAATGGTGTGGGTGAGCTGCCTTTTGCCTATTTACCCTAGATAATAGTCCGAGGGTTTGTATGGAGTCTGGTTTTTGGCTGCTCTCTGGTGTTGGTTCTTAGCGATCAGTGTGAGCTGTGGCTCCTCCTGTGAGACACCTTTTACAGAGACTATCTGAAAGGAAGGTCTAAGAAATTGTGCTTTCTGAGGAGCTGGTCTTATATGTCACTTTATTTGTGTGGTTCCTAAATTCAGTTCGTGTTTAAGGGGCCTTCTTAGAGTGGGCCAAGAAGCCTACTGCTGTCTCTTCCAAGACCTTTCTTGCACCAACTGCTTTCTGAGGAGGGAAAAGCTAGTTGCACTCTTCCTCACCCTATAGGTTCTTGCCTGAAGTTGGGTCAGGTCCTGCAATGGCTTCAGCGCTGACGTTGGAGAATGAAAGCTTCTCAATGGGCTTAAGTAGTCTTCCCTCACCACACCTAGAGATGAATAGGAAAGCACTGGCCAGCAAGGGGTCAGCGTGGCAAGCGATGGTAACCACTGGTATTAGGTATATTTGGCTTCTTCGCCCTTGGCTCCAGGCCCTGCCTTTTCAGCCTGCTGTTTGCACAGACACCCACAGTGGACTGAGGGGCATCAAGTGGCCTATTCCAACTCTGTAAACTGCAAGTAGGTTATCTCTAGTTCTGTGACTGAAACCAGCAAAGTGTCACTGGCTGGAACGGAGAACACGACAGCCATGGTTCTCAAGCCATTAACTAGAACGCTGCAGGTGAACCTGAATGCGAGTGATCTCAGGGTATGAGTCCTGCCCCATCATGGCAGGGAATGTGGGTCATTCGACCTCACAAGCTTAGGGGTATACAAAATGCAAAGTGCCCGCTGCGTAAAGGCCTGGGACTCTGCACCCACAGAAGCTGCCATTCCTACTCCAGTCAGCGAGGGCACCAGCAAAGCTAGCCTAGGTCCAGCTTCGCCAGCGGCCCTCTCCAAAGAGCTCCAGTCACAACGCATATCCTTAAGCACTCAACTATCTTAACCGCCTGGTGGCGCCAGACCTCTCAGCCCGACCTCCCGCGTCTGCTTGCCACCGGGTCACGTGGCATATGGCGCAGCCAGATGACGCGTCCTGGGGCAGCTGTTGCCCGCCCTCGCAGTCACGTGGGGAGGCCGGCACAGCATGATGACGCATGCCCCGCCCCTCGGCGCCGCTCCCGCCCCGCCCCGCCGCCACCGCCGCGCCGAGTCCTTTTGTCCAAGATGGCGGCGCCGGGGGCGCTGCCTCCTGGGCCGCCGCCGTCGCCGCCGCTGTGAAGGGTCCGCGGGCCGCCCGCCCGCCGCGCCGGCGCCATGAAGCGGCAGAGCGAGCGAGACTCCAGCCCGAGCGGGCGTGGCTCGTCGTCGTCGGCAAAGCGGCCGCGGGAGCGCGAACGGGAGGCGGAGGTGGGCGGGCGGCGAGCGGTTCATAAGGCCTCTGGCGGTGCCAAACACCCAGTTCAAGCGCGGGCCCGCGACAAGCCCCGCGGTACGGGGGGCGGCGGGGGCGGACATCGCGACGGCCGCGGCGCCGGGGACGCAAATCACCGTGCGGGCAGCGGACGCTCCTCGGGCTCTGGAGCTGGCGGTGGGGGACGCGGCGGCAAGGCCTCGGGGGACCCGGGCGCCTCGGGCGCGTCGCCCCGCGCTTCTCCGCTGCCGCCGCCCCCGCCGCCGCCCGGGGCCGAACCTGCAGGTCCTGGCTCTGCAGCCGTGCCGGAGTACAAGACGCTACTCATCAGCAGCCTGAGTCCTGCGCTGCCCGCCGAGCACCTTGAGGACCGGCTGTTCCACCAGTTCAAGCGCTTCGGCGAGATCAGCCTGCGCTTGTCGCACACGCCGGAGCTGGGGCGCGTGGCCTACGTGAATTTCCGGCACCCGCAGGACGCGCGCGAAGCCCGCCAGCACGCCCTAGCCCGCCAGCTGCTGCTGTACGACCGCCCGCTCAAGGTGGAGCCGGTGTACTTGCGCGGCGGAGGGGGCGGGAGCAGCCGAAGAAGCAGCAGCAGCAGCGCTGCCGCCACCACGCCGCCTCCGGGACCGCCCGCGCCCGCCGACCCTCTCGGCTACCTGCCGCTGCACGGGGGATACCAGTACAAGCAGCGCTCACTGTCCCCGGTCGCCGCCCCGCCCCTGCGAGAGCCTCGGGCCCGCCACGCCGCTGCAGCCTTCGCCCTGGACGCCGCCGCCGCCGCCGCCGCGGGGCTGTCCCGGGAGCGGGCCCTGGACTACTACGGGCTGTATGACGACCGCGGGCGCCCGTACAGCTACCCAGCCGTGTGTGAAGAGGACCTGATGCCTGAGGACGACCAGCGGGCCACTCGAAACCTGTTCATCGGGAACTTGGACCACAGCGTATCCGAGGTGGAGCTGCGCAGGGCCTTCGAGAAGTACGGCATCATTGAGGAGGTGGTAATCAAGAGGCCTGCCCGAGGGCAGGGTGGGGCCTATGCTTTCCTAAAGTTCCAGAACCTGGACATGGCCCACAGGGCTAAGGTGGCTATGTCAGGCCGGGTGATTGGCAGAAATCCCATTAAGATAGGTTATGGCAAGGCCAACCCCACAACTCGCCTCTGGGTGGGTGGCCTAGGACCCAACACTTCACTGGCAGCCCTGGCCCGGGAGTTTGATCGCTTTGGAAGCATTCGGACCATTGATCACGTCAAAGGAGATAGCTTTGCCTACATACAGTACGAGAGCCTGGATGCAGCCCAGGCCGCCTGTGCTAAAATGAGAGGCTTTCCTTTGGGTGGTCCAGACCGCAGGCTCCGAGTGGATTTTGCCAAAGCAGAAGAGTCTCGGTATCCCCAGCAGTACCAGCCCTCACCCCTCCCTGTGCACTATGAGCTTCTCACAGATGGATATACCCGGCACCGAACCTTGGATGCGGACCTGCGGGTGCGGGATAGGACCCCTCCACACCTTCTGTACTCAGACCGAGACCGGACCTTTTTGGAAGGGGACTGGACCAGCCCCGCTAAAAGTTCTGACCGCAGAAACAGCCTGGAGGGTTATAGTCGCTCAGTGCGCAGCCGGAGTGGTGAACGCTGGGGAGGGGAAGGGGACAGGGGCATGCCCAAGCCCTGGGAAGACAGGCGCAAGCGGAGGAGCCTTTCCAGTGACCGCGGAAGGACAACTCACTCTCCTTATGAGGAACGGAGCAGGACCAAGGGTGGTGGGCAGCAGTCTGACCGCAGCTCAGACCGCACCCCTGAGCGCAGCCGAAAGGAGAACCACTCTGGTGAAGGGACCAAGGAGTCAGGCAGCAACTCTCTCAGCAACAGCAGACATGGGGCTGAGGAGCGAAGCCACCACCACCACCACCACGAAGCTCCAGACTCTTCCCATGGGAAGAAGAGAGAGAGTGAGCGCAATCATCGGACCACTGAGGCCGAGCCCAAGCCTCTCGAAGAGCCAAAACATGAGACCAAAAAGCTGAAGACTCTTTCAGAGTATGCTCAGACGCTGCAGCTGGGTTGGAATGGGCTTTTAGTGTTGAAAAACAGCTGCTTCCCAACATCTATGCATATCCTAGAGGGGGATCAGGGAGTCATCAGCGGTCTCCTCAAAGACCACACTTCTGGGAGCAAGCTGACCCAGCTGAAGATCGCCCAGCGCCTTCGACTAGACCAACCCAAGCTTGACGAGGTCACACGACGCATCAAGCAGGGGAGCCCCAATGGCTATGCAGTGCTCCTAGCCACCCAGGCAGCCCCCAGTGGGCCTGGCACTGAGGCGATGGCCACAGTGGAGCCAGGCCTTCAGAGGCGGCTTCTCAGGAACCTGGTCTCCTACTTGAAACAGAAGCAGGCTGCAGGGGTAATCAGCCTGCCAGTGGGGGGGTCCAAGGGCAGAGACATCACAGGCATGCTCTATGCCTTCCCACCCTGCGACTTCTCCCAGCAGTACCTCCAGTCAGCGCTGAGGACATTGGGCAAGCTGGAAGAGGAACACATGGTGATAGTTATAGTAAGAGACACTGCCTAGCCCAAACTCAAAAGCAGTTACTTGCAAATCTGATCCCTTCTCTACCTGCTCCCTTGGTTTGAATTATCTGCTGGATTAATTTAGTTCATTTGGTGGGGGGATCAGTCTGTCCACTAAATCTAAGTTCTTAGATTTTGGGGGACTTTTTTTTACGATGACAAGAACCCCTGTTACGTTGACTTCTCTATGAGATACTGTCTGCTGTATTCTGTATTTTTTTATTTTTTGACTAACTGTATGGAAAGTTGTCAGTAAAGCCTTTGTCAGAGGATGGATTTCTAATCCGTTCAGTGTCCAAGTTTAATCAAGTTTTTTCTTAAAAGAATGGAACTTTCCCAGTGCATGCCCTGGTCACATTTCTGGCACTACTGTGTCCAAAAGGCCTGCTGTATTTTGGTGGCTCTCAGCTATTAGGCTGTCAGGACTCATACTCAGTTTTTTTGTTGTTGTTTTTTTTTTTTCATACTCAGTTTTAATCTTAGCTGATACTGGCACACACAGCCCTGGGCCCTGCTGTGTACCCACCCACCTGACTAGATCCCCTTCAAAGGAATGGGTGAGCCTAAGGTCTGTGCCAACAGCTGCTAGTAGTTTCTGGTTTGGTTTTCCCTGCCCTTAGTATGTGTCCATCAGTTCAGTCTGTGTTTGTTGGACAAAGTGCCCAATTATAAAACCTGTTTGATGGTGGATAGTTTTCAACAGTTGTTGTGCATGGGGGAGGAGCAGTGCAATGTTGATGCCAAGAGGTCTCAGTGCCTGCACACTTGTCAGGATCCTTCTGGCCTAGCCTCCCTTTCTAGCCTTACCTAACATGGGGGTCTTAGAGGCGGTGGAGCATTGGAGGCAGCCTGCCTTGGTTAACTCTTGAACCATACTCAGGAGTCTCATTTTTGGCTCTTCCTTCGGTCATTCAGGGCTGATATGTCAATAAGGTGGGCCTGTGCCCAGTCACACATCTAGAGCTTTGTGGAGAGCAACGAATCCCCAGTTGAAGTACTTCTCACAGTGCTTTCGGGTTGTGCAGTGGGTTAGGAAGATGTCCTTGGTAAGTGACCTAACAAGTTTCTTGCTCCAATAAAAGTTAAGTGAGGAATGCTAAGAAACGGATTTTCTCTTCTACAAAAAATGACACAGTCGCTGAGGTTTGGGGCAGGGCTAAAGCAAAGCCACTCAAACCAGGCTGGGGAAGGAAAGGATGTGGAGGATCCTCTAGTTGGGTGGGAAAAGTGGCCTGAACAGTTACAGAATTCTGCCTTCACTGGTCGGTCTGGTTGGTTAGGTGGGCAGTGCTGACAGACAAGTTCATTGGTGCCAGGGACCAGGGAGGAAACAGAGCATACAGTGGCTGTCACCAAACACAGCCCAAATAGCATTCAGCTATTTATGTGGCAGTGTGGATATTCCGAAAGGATGGTTGTCGGGTCTGAGGAGTAGGAGCTCTATTAAGAGACATGTACTTCCAGGTGATCAGAAGCTGTAGGTTCTGCTGGCCAGGCCAGTGCTCCAGGTCTGGCCCACTCTCCAGCCAGCATGGGTGACAATGAGATCTGAGGTAAGTGCTCTGTGCAGGCAGGGGCTATGTACAGGCTCCATGGAGGAGATGACTGTCCACAAGGATACAGCTGTCTTTTAGACCCTGGAGACAGAGTCAGCAGGGGTCTGTGCTTCGAAAGTACACCAGGGCTACCCCTTGGACCCTTCCTGCCCCTCAGGAGCTTTCCTAGTAATAAATATCTTCCTACTTAAAGAAAAGTACATCATTCACTGGGCTTCAGCCAGCCAGTGCTCACAAGAATGAGTGCATTCATAAAACAACACAACAAAGTGTTGAACATGTTTATTGGCCTGTTTCTATGTGACCTGTGGCCACAGTTGCCAGGTACTAAGCAAGTCCATTGGGCACCTGAGGATACAACTTGGGTAGGTGGCACTGCCAGAAACAGAAGGGGCCTCATCTTGAAGTGCACTGCAGTTTCCTCTGTATGCCTTCAACAAGTCACAGGCAGAGCTGCCATGTCACCTCTGGGCTGCCTATCTTCCTTCACAGAATGTGGCTCAGCTACCCCAGGAAGAACCAAGTAAAAGGAGATACGCTCCTTAGCCTGGGTGGAAGACACCACCAGTTTTTGCCTTGTCTACCCTCCTAAGGGCCCTTATGGCCTCAGAAATAACCAGAGTTTTGATGAAGAGCCACAGCCCATTGTGTGACCCCTCTCCTTTGGACCTCAACCACATCCTTCCTTTGGCTTTTTAGGCACAAGGTTCTAAGACCTCTCAGGCCTTGGCAGCACTGAAGAAAGTAAGTCAGGTGGCCAAGGCCTTGGCTGCTTCATGACAACCCAGTGAGAACTGGAACTCTCCCATGCCTCCACCTGGGAATCAGGTCCTAGCCAACAGGTTGCTTGAAGGGAGAGAGCATGAAGTGGGGAAGTCTATCTCATCAATGGTGTACTATTGGTCTGTATGTTTCTTCCTAAGTGATTCCAATTTTGACCCCTGGCAGAATAAGGAAGAGTACATGTCCCTTAAGGCACTTCCCTAAGGATATGTTGTCAAGTCAACGAGAACTCTGCTTTCCTATGAGCGGTGCCCATCTCCACCTCAGAGACCTGTGGGTACTCCCAAGAGCTCCTGGCAGCTTCAGGGATGCACTCAGCTGTTAGTATGGGTGCACTGCTGCTGATTGCAGTGGTCCTGGCAGTCAGGCTATCCCACTGGTTAGTGCTAGCTACCATTTAAAGCTAAGGCATGAAGCAAATGAGCTGAAACCTCTGCTCTAGAGGACCAAGAAGTGCTATGTGGTCCAGGACCACTTCAGTGCGTATGACAAACTATGTTGCTCCTGAGCCCGCTAGGGCTTTTCCTGCCCCTGGAGAGTTTTGGCTGTCTTGTGTTGCTTCTTTATTTCATAAATGCCAAACGCGCCACCTCTTCTTTCAGTAAAGGAAGAAAAAAATCTCTTAAGCTGTATTCTATGTAACAGAAACCAAGAAGCTGTTTTTCAGGCAAAATCAAAGGGAGAGAAGTCAGAGTCTTCTGTTTATTATGGGAAGAAAAATGGGTGGGGTGAAACAATGTCAGAGCCCTGGAACTTTTCTCTGATGGTTACACAGTCTAAGAATAGGCCAATTTTAGCCCTGAAGCAGGTACAAACTCAACCTGACCAAACCCCAACTAGCCCTCAGCCACCAGGACTAGAGAACTAAAAAGTCCTGTGTCATATGCCCTTATGGCAGCCACAATCCCAACTATAGGGATGGCCGAAATGCTCTTTTTAGCACTGCCAGCCCATTCCTCCAAAATTTCCTAGGGCCCCTGCTTTTGCAGCTCTACTAAGTCTGTAGTCAGGAGCTGCCCTCTTGATCCAGAACATGGGAATGGAGAGATGTATCCACTGTGGACAATGCCCTGAGCTCTGCCCTCACCTGTTACCTTTCCAAAAGAGGTCCTCAACCCAAGCCACAGTCCAGGGCCAGACACTGACTGACCTACTGTTCTCCAAGGGTGCATTAGTTGGGCAAAATGTTCTCACCATCACCCTGCTCTGCCTCTCTTGGAAGGAAGGCATCTTTTGTGTGGCCTGCCAGAGCTGCAAGGAAAGGGCGATCCTACTTTGGTAAAAGAGAACAGAGAAAGGCCATAAACAAAGACTTGTTGTTTATTTTGTATTTTTTTTTAAATAAATACACTTTACATTAAAGAAAAAGGCCTTTGATTTGTAATTTCCACATTGGGGAGAAAGAGAAGAAAAAAAGGAATCTGAAAAACTGAATCACAAAAATAGAGGGAGTGAACTTATATCCTAAGTTCCCTCAACTCCATAAAACCAATATCCACAATGACTATGCTGCCCATAAACCATGAAAGTGGGTGAATTTAGGCATTTACTCAGCAAACAACCAGCACAGCGCCTTCTCCACTTCCGGTATGAAGGAAAACAAATTAACATGACAGCATATGAGGCAACAAAACAGGCTAAAAAAATCATATATTATATTTATAATAAAATATTCTTAATCCTTATCAATTTAAGAAACCACAATTTTCCTTTTCATTTAAATAACGTATGTAAAAATGCCTCTATTGTATTTTAGACATCATTTTCTTCCAAAGAAAATGAAGTGCAGGGACAAGAGACATGGTGGATATAAGTTCATACCCTCAGTTATAAATGCCTGTTGTATTTTTTTTTTCTTTTTAAAGTTTTATAAAAAACTATTCTTGTTCTTTAAGTAAAGAACATTATACAAAGAAAATATATTGTGAAATAACCCGAGGCGTGTTTTGTTTTGTTTTTCCCTTGAGGAAAGATATGTCCATCTTAGTGGGGGTGGGGAGTGGGAAAGCAGGATAGGGCCTAATCCCTGCTGTCTGTTTTGTGGTTGTTATTGTTTTTAGAAGGACTCAGATTCCAGTGAGACTTTAAACCATAATCTTCTGGTACAGGGCATGTAGTTCCTTAACAGCCCTGGGAGAAAGGAAAGGAAAGGTGTTCTCAATTCATACAACAGTTTCTCCCCTGCCAACAATCTCTTCCAAATGGTGATGACTCCTCACTCATTCAGAGATAAAATGATGTCATCTTCCAAATCAGAGTTGTCAGAGCTGTCAGCTGAAAGGTAAGGGAGACACTAGATTATGCACTAGGATTACAGGAAGCATCCACATCACATACATTTATGCCTCAATAGGGTTAATTACCAGTTTCCAGAAAGAAGAAAACACATCAATTAACTCCCTAGAGCTGACTCTGGAGAATACACCTGTTGCTGGCAACAGTGATCAGCCCTGGGACCTCGTGCTCTCTTACTTTTCAAAACTCTTGGACTTCTTAGCAACTCTGTTTCCTACCTGGAAGGGCTCAAAGGGACCAGGCTAGCATTCTCTAAGGCCCCACTCATGGCACTTGGGATGCAAAATGCAGGGCTAAAAGTACCGAACAAACCTCATGGCCCTGGACCTCTGCTATCCTTACAAGAATGGGCACAGGCCTGCTTGACCCTGAGGGACCACTAAAAAGAGAAGACGAAGGGCCGGGGATTTAGCTCAGTGGTTCCGCCACCTGCCTCGCAAGCAGAAGGACCTGAGTTCAATCCCCAGTACCAAAAAAAAAAAAAGAGAAGATGAGTCCAAGCAAAAGTAATTTTCCTTAACCTCTTAGTCTTTCTCCAGTCCTTGGAAGACTACAGGCAGAGAGAATCATCCTAGGATTCACTCAGTCATTTCTGCATATAATCTGATGGGAACAAACTCGCAGAAAAGTACAGGCCAGCTTGCAGTAATACCAGAGAAGAACTGATCCATCTAGAAATGAGCTGGGAAGCAGGGAGCAGCTGTGAGACCCTAGAAAGTGGCTGTCTCCAACAAGGAGCCTCTGCTCAACTCTTAGCCTTCTCAGGTGGGAAATAAATACACTGACACTTCTGGAAAGATCCATTAAAGGTAAAACTTGGTGGTAGCCAAAAGGACCCTTAAGATGAAGTACATACACCTTGTCTGTTGATTGAAACCAGAGAAACAGCACCTAGCTCTGTCTGCTAAGCAAAGGAAAAGCCTCAGTACCCACTTTGATTACTCAACTCAGAAAGCTATGGAACAATTTTAACAAGGTTTCCAGGAAAGCAAGAGAGAGACCCTGAGTCCTGCAAAAAATACAGAGACTAAGTTTCCGTGTGGAGAACCTACAAGATGCAAAGAATCTCCATCAGCCTTTCCCAGGTACCTAGAGAAGCAACTCCTGGGCAAGACAGGGACCAACAACACATGTCCTCAGACCCTCCTCTCTTCACCACAAGCTCATTTAGAGAAAAAGAAAAATACTGAAATGTTTGACAAACTAAAAGCAAAAAAAGCATGGCAGTGACAGAAGTCCCAAAAGAAAGAAAGAAATGGCTGGAAAAATGAATGTTCCTCACTAACAGTACAAACACAGTCTCTTGATGAAAAACAAAAATAAGTCGGTGAGGTCAAAGAATCCATACTTGACACACATGAACAAACCACACCTCAGGAGCCTCTTTGCTGCAAGAGCTCCAGGAGGCAAGGCAAGGCCTCCTTTCCAAAACCCAAGCACAGCACTGTCCTGCAGACTCACCTGCCTGAGACCTGCTAACCATCAGCTATATATAAGGTATATATTATTTATTTATATATTTATTTTTATATATATATAAACTGTCAAGGGCTGAGGGTGTAGCTCTTTGGTACAACACTTGCCTGGCATGCAGATGACCAAGGATTCCATCCCCAGTACTAAGACCTACAAATGCAGCTTAGTGAAGATCACAGATTGAGAACCTTTACAGCTTGAACAGACTCCCCCACCTTGTGGCCAGGAAGGCTTCTTCCTTTACCTTTCCTCTTTCCACATATAGAAATGATTCAATCCCAGACCCTACATGGAAACTCCATTTTGAAAGGCCTTAATGGGAAAGGCAGTCTATTATAATCAATCCCTAGTTGGGCATGGTGGTGCACACTTGTAATCTTAGCACTCTGGGACGCTGAGACAGAAGGACTGCAAGTTCAAATCCTGCATAGGTAACATAGTGACTCAGCAAGACTGTTTCCAAAAAAGATGGGGGTTTGGGGGTGTTGGATGTAGCTCAGTGCAAAGGCCCAGGGTTCAATCCCCAGTACCAGGGAGAATAATAATCCCTGAAGTACTTAACCTGTTGCTTTACGACAAACAGGGTTTAGGTTTTTTTTATGGATGGGGTACTGACAAAGACACAAAGACCCTAGAGTCAAGGTGCTTCTGTACCTAGGACTAGGGTTCTGATTTTAAAATCACTGGGTCCCTGCAGGAGCCAGGGCCTACGGTTTTCTAAGGCTTACATCATATACTAAAAGGGCTCCACAAGCTCAAAAAGGTTAAGAGCTACTGATTTAGATGATTAGTAAGAGGGAAAACACTAACAAACCAAGGGTGTCAACATGCCGTCTGCTCACTGACAGCTGCTATGGATCTCCTATAAAACACATTGAAAAAGCAATAAAGTATACCCTGCAGATGCCAATTCTGCATTGCCACCTCAATTCTAGAGGCAAACTGAAATAGCAAGATGTCATCCATTATAAAACAAATATTTGCACCAATGTTAAAGTAACATTCTCACAGAATTCAAGTTTTCCAAATGAGGTGCAATGGCACACATCTGTAATCCCAGCTACTTGGAAGGCCAACACAGGAGGATTTGAAGTTTAAGGTCAGCCTGGGCAACTTTAGCATACTCACCTACCATGCACAAGGCCCTGGGTTCAATCCCAGTACCACACAGAAAGGAAGGGGATGGGCCATTAGTTTTCCAGATTGTTTTACTTGAAAGAATTTCCTAAATGGCTAAAGGAGGCAGTAATTTTACCAAAGTGGGAGGCTTTATATTCAAATTAAGTATGGAAGTGGGGCATGGTGGCACATATCTGCAATCCCAACACTCTAGATCCTTGAGACAGGAAGATCTCAAGTTCAAGCCCAGCCTAGGCAATGGGCAACGTAAACCCTGTCTCAAAACTTTAAAATAAAAGGGGTGGGGAGCGCTAGGGATATAGTTCAGTGCAAAGGCCCTGGTTCAATTCGGGGGAGGGGGGTAACATGGGGGAACAGATGGGGGGAACGAGACAGAAATGGAATGGAAAAGCTGAGAATGGCAAAGTTGAGATGACACCAGGATCTGACAAGATGACCAGGTTGCCCCTCAGGATCAAGGGAGTGAATGCAGTGTTTGCTGGTAAGACCAGTAACTGGCATTAAAGCAGAACCATATGACAGTAGCACACATTAACTTCATGTTGTCACTGCTAGCCCTCAAGATTCCCTCTTTAATGGAAGGACTTGTAAATTTGAACTATTCCTTCCCAGAAGAACACTCAATGGCAACACCTAATATGTATTTCATGACCAAGCTATCTTCCTAATGTAGACAAGTTGGGAAGAATATGTTGGGCTACTCTGAAAGATGAATGATCCTCACCATTGCCTATCCATATAGTTCTGCTATGGACCCAGGCTTTATTAAGTGTTCCTAACCTAAGTGATCTCTTAGCAAATAACGTAGCAGAGTATAGTACCAATGCCACCCAAGTCTTCAAACAGCTCTAACATGGACTAACCTATGTGCCATGAATAAAGTTTAAACTGATCTCATCAACAAGTGTGCATTGCTTTTCCTGTTCTGCCAAAACTTCTTCCCTTTTCCTCTGCAGGTAATGGACAGTCTTAGAAACATTAGAAAATAACAGCTCAGACATCTACATTCTTTGATGATTAACTGCACATGAACAAATTGTCTTGTCCCAAATTACTGTGTAAGAGAAGAGGCTAGAAGTATCACCTGAATTACAGAAATTATTGGCTGCCCTCATCAGGGTTTAAGTATACAGCACTGTGATTGAAGGGAGTTGTCAGGATTAGAGTGGGGCAGTTTTCTTTATTGTATTTTTGACAGAGGAGGTGGTAAATTTTATAGGCTTCTTTTGTTTTTGGTAGTACTGAGGATTGAACACAGGGCCTTCTCACTGATACATCACCAGCCATCTTTGTATTTTTTATTTTTGAGACAAGAATCTTGTCTCAAAAATTTTGAGACAAGAATCTTGTCTCAAAAATTTTGAGACAAGAATTTTTGAATCAAGTTGGCCAGGTTGAGCTTGAACTTGCAATACTCCTGCCTCACCCTCCCAGAGTGCTGGGATGGATTACAAGTATGAGCTTACATACCTGACTCCCTCTTTGCATGGTGATCTATTTGCATTGATGAAAAGCAGCCAAGCAGTTCTTCAGACTATGCTCTCT